GCCTAAACTTGACTTCCCAGGACTTGAACCTGGTACTGGGAGCTAAGGACATAAAAAAAAAAAAATCTGGCACCAACCAGATTTGAAACTACAACCTTCGGATTGGCAGGCAAGTGTCTAACGTTAAATGAGAAAAGTTCATGATAAAAACAGCCTCAGATCGTCAGTCTTACGTGAAAGGTTTAGGATTGAAGTAGCTTCAGATCTGAGAAGATTTCAGAATAGAAGCAGCCTTAGATCTGAGAAAGGTCCAGGATAGAAGCAGCATCAGATCATCAGTGTTAAATGAGAAAGGTACAGGATAGAAGAAACCTCAGATCATCAGTGTTAAATGAGAAAGGTACAGGATAGAAGAAACCTCAAATCATCAGTGTTAAATGAGAAAGGTACAGGATAGAAGCAGCCTCAGATCATCAGTGTTTAATGAGAAAGGTCCAGGATAGAATCAGCATCAAATCATCAGTGTTAAATTAGAAAAGTACAGGATAGAAGAAACCTCAGATCATCAGTGTTAAATGAGAAAGGTACAGGATAGAAGAAACCTCAGATCATCAGTGTTAAATGAGAAAAGTACAGGATAGAAGTAGCCTTAGATCATCAGTGTTAAATGAGAAAGGTACAGGATAGAAGCAGCCTCAGATCATAAGTGTTAAATGAGAAAGGTACAGGATAGAAGCAGCCTCAGATCATCAGTGTTAAATGAGAAAGGTACAGGATAGAAGTAACCTTACATCATCAGTGTAAAATGAGAAAGGTACAGGATAGAAGTAACCTCAGATCATCAGTGTAAATGAGAAAGGTACAGGATAGAAGTAGCCTTAGATCATCAGTGTTAAATGAGAAAGGTTCAGGATAGAAGTAGCCTCAGATCATCAGTTTTGAATGAGAAAGGTACAAGATAGAAGTATTATCAGTGTTAAATGAGAAAGGTACAGGATAGAAGTAACCTTAGATCATCAGTGTTGAATGAGAAAGGTACAGGATAGAAGTAGCATCAGATCATCAGTGTTGAATGAGAAACGTTCAGGATTTTAAAAAAACACAGTAAATTTACAGGCCTGAAGAAGTTCAAAGAAAATGTTTTTAGATAGCAGTAGTTTAATGATGTACATGCAGTGTATGAATATAGCATGACAGAAGATGCAAGACAATCACATTATGTTTGGAGTTAGCAAGAGATCTATGTGGAATTGTTGGGTACTGAAAGAGTTAAAGATCTTGGTAATCTTAGTTTCAGCTTCATAGCAAATGGGTCACCCCATAGTTGCTTCACTAGTGTGCCAACAACAAAAAAACACAGAACATCCATAACTGTTTCTTGTGGAAAAACTGACACAGACTGCAGTCCCAGCATATCCATCAGCAGACACACACATTAAAAGCATAAAGCAGCCATCAGAAGTGCTGACACAAACAGTGTGACATTAGAAACACAGTTCACCATCGACCGAATCAGCAGTTACAAAATCTACTTGTTAAGTATATGGTTATGCTCTATTGTATTATTATAAACATGACGCTAGATGTGTGATGTAGTTAGCATCCTACGGGCCAGACGTATTGAATTCAGATAATAGCCTGCTGAGGATCTGATTGTGTGGGCATATTTTTGATAAACCTGGAGCTACATGCATGATATAGTTATCATCATCCTGGCTACCCATTAAATCTCAGAACATTTCTCCGTACCCATGTAAACTGCTCGACCTGAAAGGTCAAATTTATTAAATTGAATAAAGCTTGATGGGGGTTTTAATATGTGACCACCAGAATGCAGCAGGCAAGAAGTGATAGCTTCTGAACTAAACTACACCCAAAAGATTATGGCCACAAGTTTAACCATCATAAATGGGAACCAGATGTCTACACATGAAAAGAGGAAAGGCAGTCAGTATAATGTGAATGATGTCACTTCTTACTGTCCCTTTGAACTTTCCTTGGGCCCATTTTTGGGTGAAACACGAATAGACCCTGTGCCTCCCTACCAAGCAGGTTGTTAAACTCAACTAGGGATGTTTCCTTTAAAGTCAGAGTGCACCTGCATGATAGGTGGGGAACCAACAATCTGCATACACATAAATCAATTCTGTAAAATGGATGTGCATGCAAAACTCAGGTTCTGGAACAAGACCAAAGGGCAAATGTTTAAGTCGGCAAACTTGAAGAACACTTTATACTGTGCCACACTGTGCTCAGTCTTCACTGTTTCATGTTAATGTCACTGTGCCACACTGTGCTCAGTCTTCACTGTTTCATGTTAATGTTACTATGCCACACTGTGTGCTCAGTCTTTCCTGTTTCATGTTAATGTTACTGTGCCACACTGTGCTCAGTCTTCCTAGTTTCATGTTAATGTTACTGTGCCACACTGTGCTCAGTCTTCACTGTTTCATGTTAATGTCACTGTGCCACACTGTGCTCAGTCTTCCCTGTTTCATGTTAATGTTACTGTGCCACACTGTGCTCAGTCTTCCCTGTTTCATGTTAATGTTACTGTGCCACACTGTGCTCAGTCTTCACTGTTTCATGTTAATGTCACTGTGCCACACTGTGCTCAGTCTTCACTGTTTCATGTTAATGTTACTGTGCCACACTGTACTCAGTCTTCACTGTTTCATGTTAATGTTACTGTGCCACACTGTGCTCAGTCTTCCCTGTTTCATGTTAATGTTACTGTGCCACACAGTGATGAGTCTTCCCTGTTTCATGTTAATGTTACTGTGCCACACTGTGCTGTCTTCATTGTTTCATGTTAATGTTACTGTGCCACACTGTGCTCAGTCTTCCCTGTTTCATGTTAATGTTACTGTGCCACACTGTGCTCTGTCTTCATTGTTTCATGTTAATGTTACTGTGCCATACTGTGTGCTCAGTCTTCCCTGTTTCATGTTAATATTACAGTGCCACACTGTACTCTGTCTTCGTTGTTTCATGTTAATGCTACTGTGCCACACTGTTCTGTCTTCGTTGTTTCATGTTAATGTTACTGTGCCACACTGTTCTGTCTTCATTGTTTCATGTTAATGTTACTGTGCCACACTGTTCTGTCTTCGTTGTTTCATGTTAATGTTACTGTGCCACACTGTGTACTCAGTCTTCCCTGTTTCATGTTAATGTTACTGTGCCACACTGTACTCAGTCTTCCCTGTTTCATGTTAATGTTACTGTGCCACACTATGCTTGTCTTCGTTGTTTCATGTTAATGTTACTGTGCCACACTGTGCTCAGTCTTCCCTGTTTCACGTTAATGTTACTGTGCCACACTGTGCTCAGTCTTCCCTGTTTCATGTTAATGTTACTGTGCCACACAGTGCTAAATCTTCCCTGTTTCATGTTAATGTTACTGTGCCACACAGTGCTAAATCTTCCCTGTTTCATGTTAATGTTACTGTGCCACACTGTGCTCTGTCTTAATTGTTTCATGTTAATGTTACTATGCCACACTGTGTGCTCAGTCTTTCCTGTTTCATGTTAATGTTACTGTGCCACACTGTGCTCAGTCTTCCCTTTTTCATGTTAATGTTACTGTGCCACACTGTGCTCAGTCTTCACTGTTTCATGTTACTGTGTTACACTGTGTACTCAGTCTTCCCTGTTTCATGTTAATGTTACTGTGCCACACTGTACTCAGTCTTCCCTGTTTCATGTTAATGTTACTGTGCCACACTGTGCTCACTCTGCCTTGTTTCATGTTAATGTTACTGTAAATTTTGCTGACTGTTCATATTTCTTTAGAGGACAAAAGAGAGGAAGAAGTACATAGATCAAGAAATAGACGAGGATGACATTGACGGCAAGCGAACCTACAGCGTGGAAGATAAACTTGTCAGTGACAAGTTTACTGGCGACATGGTGCAGGTGCTTAATGGTCCAGGTAACTAATCTGATAGAACAATTGTTTGTTTGGTTGTACATCATCCCTTTAATGACATCTTTCATGTCCACCACCAAGTTGGTCAGCCCTACCTTTTATTTCATGGACCAAGGCTTCAGTTTCTGTCCAGTTTCAACCACTGTAATGTTCCGTTTTTGTCCAGTTTCAACCACTGTAATGTTCCATTTCTGTCCAGTTTCAACCACTGTAATGTTCTGTTTCTGTCCAGTTTCAACCACTGTAGTGTTCCATTTCTGATCAGTTTCAACCACTGTCATGTTTGATATGATCAGAATATTTCAAGTTCATAGACATGATAAGCCAATTTTTCTTTTAATGTATCGATCGTGCTGAGTTATTTTCTTGTTATTGATTGTGAACATGATTTTGGCTTCATCCTGGTGACTGTAGAGATAGCTCTGGTTGGTCTCCTGTTGCTGGTCACAAAACTGATTTAGTAGTCTTCTGAAGAAACTGAGTTGTCTTGGCCCCCAGTTTTACCACAGCATCTAGTTTAATATTGGGCGCTGGAGGCAGTCGCTGCAGCTTGAGAACCAGCTGTACACACATGTTGTAACTGACTCACACACAGTGTGTAGAGACATGTGCAGAGTGGCAAGCATCACTTTAGAGGTCCCCTGAAGTTAGTGTTCTGTGAATATTTTCTTCAGGTAATGTCCATGTATTGGGAAGTGAAGATACAGACTCGCTTGTTCGGCACCATTTGGTAGTGAATTGATGCAAGGCAAGCTAGATAATTGTAAGGGTCTTTAAAAGTGATTTAACAGTGTGGAGGTACAAACATTTCATCACCATCTAAGGACATGGTGCTGTTAGCCGTGACTAGGGAATCTGGCCGAAGGCAAGACCTTGCTGCTGAAGATGGGGGATGGAGCGCTTATGAGAATGTCCTGAATAATGTGATCTCAATTCTTAATTCAGCAGTTGACATGCAGCTATAACATGCTTGATGACTTAAGAGCACACGCACACACAGACTCTGTCTCACACACACACACACACAAGAAAATATTTTTTAGGCAGATACTTTGGTGCTGCAATGTATTTTTTAAATTTATCAGTCTTTTGTGTGAGTGAGTGTACAAAAAGAGTTAAATTTCTTCAGATTTCACCATGGAGTGGATGCAGAGGAATGGACTGACTAGGCCTGTGGTGTTTTATGACAAGACCGGACTAGGCTTGAGGTTTGTGGGTTTTTTCTGAGAGCTAAGATTAACCTGTTTCTTTCTAAATAATTCTGGTACATGAAGCCATTGATTCTGACATCACACCTGATCTAGTCCACTAACTATAAACCAGTAATATAAACTTGTTATATTATTTATAATACTGTTTTATATTATTTATAATACTTACATAGAAATAGGAGCTGTGGTGGCCTGGTAGCTGTTTGGCTTGCTTTCTGGACTGGGGATTATATGTTCGAATCTCCAAAGCAGTTAACAGTTTTGCTGATTTGAAACATGGTCGGCCAGCATCAGATGGAAGCTTGGAAAGTATCTGGGAAGTCTAAGCAGCCAGGGTAACATTCACCACATAACTCGTTAAGTAGCACTTGTCTGATATTGGCTCGTCCTGCAGACACATAACATTTCAGGCTAAAATAGAAGTGCCCAAACTAAAGATTGGTGTCTCCATGACAACAGAGCCATTAAATGTGCTCTTTGTCCCATTCAGGAACACTAACCATGACACAGTTAGTCACAGAATGTTGGTGAATTTACCACGCAGACACAGTTAGTCACGTCACAGAATGTTGGTGAATTTACCACACAGACACAGTTAGTCACAGAATGTTGGTGAATTTACCACGCAGACACAGTTAGTCACAGGATGTTGGTGAATTTACCACGCAGACACAGTTAGTCACAGGATGTTGGTGAAGTTACCACGCAGACACAGTTAGTCACAGAATGTTGGTGAATTTACCACGCAGACACAGTTAGTCACGTCACAGAATGTTTGTGAATTTACCACGCAGACACAGTTAGTCACAGGATGTTGGTGAATTTACCACGCAGACACAGTTAGTCACAGGATGTTGGTGAATTTACCACGCAGACACCGTTAGTCACAGGATGTTGGTGAATTTACCACGCAGACACAGTTAGTCACAGGATGTTGGTGAATTTACCACGCAGACACAGTTAGTCACAGGATGTTGGTGAATTTACCACGCAGACACCGTTAGTCACAGGATGTTGGTGAATTTACCACGCAGACACAGTTAGTCACAGGATGTTGGTGAATTTACCACGCAGACACAGTTAGTCACAGGATGTTGGTGAATTTACCACGCAGACACAGTTAGTCACAGGATGTTGGTGAATTTATTACGCAGACACAGTTAGTCACAGGATGTTGGTGAAGTTACCACGCAGACACAGTTAGTCACAGGATGTTGGTGAAGTTACCACGCAGACACAGTTAGTCACAGGATGTTGGTGAAGTTACCACGCAGACACAGTTAGTCACGTCACAGAATGTTGGTGAAGTTACCACGCAGACACAGTTAGTCACATCACAGGATGTTGGTGAATTTACCACGCAGACACAGTTAGTCACGTCACAGAATGTTGGTGAATTTACCACGCAGACACAGTTAGTCACGTCACAGGATGTTGGTGAATTTACCACGCAGACACAGTTAGTCACGTCACAGAATGTTGGTGAATTTACCACGCAGACACAGTTAGTCACGTCACAGAATGTTGGTGAAGTTACCACACAGACACAGTTAGTCACGTCACAGGATGTTGGTGAATTTACCACGCAGACACAGTTAGTCACGTCACAGGATGTTGGTGAATTTACCACGCAGACACAGTTAGTCACGTCACAGAATGTTGGTGAAGTTACCACGCAGACACAGTTAGTCACGTCACAGAATGTTGGTGAATTTACCACGCAGACACAGTTAGTCACGTCACAGGATGTTGGTGAATTTACCACGCAGACACAGTTAGTCACAGGATGTTGGTGAAGTTACCACGCAGACACAGTTAGTCACAGAATGTTGGTGAATTTACCACGCAGACACAGTTAGTCACGTCACAGAATGTTGGTGAATTTACCACGCAGACACCGTTAGTCACAGGATGTTGGTGAATTTACCACGCAGACACAGTTAGTCACAGGATGTTGGTGAAGTTACCACGCAGACACAGTTAGTCACAGGATGTTGGTGAAGTTACCACGCAGACACAGTTAGTCACAGGATGTTGGTGAAGTTACCACGCAGACACAGTTAGTCACAGGATGTTGGTGAAGTTACCACGCAGACACAGTTAGTCACAGGATGTTGATGAATTTACCACGGAGGAGGTCGAAGTACATATCTGATGTTTAGAATGCGTAGATGATAATTGAAACTAAACTGAATAAGTATGGATATTGTTGGTGAATTTACCACGCAGACACAGTTAGTCACAGGATGTTGGTGAAGTTACCACGCAGACACAGTTAGTCACAGGATGTTGGTGAAGTTACCACGCAGACACAGTTAGTCACAGGATGTTGATGAATTTACCACGGAGGAGGTCGAAGTACATATCTGATGTTTAGAATGCGTAGATGATAATTGAAACTAAACTGAATAAGTATGGATATTTAGTATAGTAAGATTTATTTTAAATAAAAATGTGCTTGAGTTTCATATATAAGGGCTCTTCCAAATTTAATAGGCCTTTCAGTTTGAAATGTAATGCAGTGATGTATGTAACTTTTGTATCTGGTAATCTTAGCTTCAACTCCATAGCCAACGGGCCACCCCATAGTTCCTTCGCTCCTGAGCCAATAAAAGACACACATGATGTCCATCACTGTCCCATATGGTGAAACAGTCCATCATTAGATGTAGTTTATTATTGATGGAAGCAGCAATTACATACAGATCAGCTGTTGCACATGCAATCAGTTTTAATCACATAAGGCACCACCACTTCTGTGGCAACAGGCCACTCGACATTTTATGAATCTACAATTCACAATACAATTTTAGTCACAGTTGATTAAGCACTCAAATGAAATCTGCAGCTCAGAGTGCTGTGCCATGCACTCAACCCTGTAGCTGGATGACAAAGCTGTATCATTTTACAAATAGCAGAAAATGCAGTGGTTACCATCTGTCAGAAGCGAAAATTTGCCATGACTAAAAATGGTGTCATGTAACATTTGTATGTGGTTAGATGTCATAGTCAACTTGTTAAAATTTTTGCCAGCCAATCACAGGTTGATTTTGGAATAGTCCTCATATTTTTTTAAATATTTTCAGAGTGCCAAGTGAAAATTTCAAAGTCCGTGATGTCAAGCAGTGTGTTGGTACGTAACCTGTTTGTATACTTTTTATTGTTATTTAGCTTATGTGGTACATTTAATCTTGAGCAAAATCTTTTTGTTCAAAATGATGTAAAGAATGCAGAAGCTTAACTAAGAACATTATTGAATAACAATATTTGTAAGCTTTGCAACTTTCTCTAGTTCTAGTTTGGGAGGAAGAATAATGCAGTGGCTAGCACACATTTCTGTAGCTGTGATGTTTAAATATTGTTTGAAGAAACAGTTTATTTGGGCTGCTGGTGTCCACCAAGCCTAAAATGGATACTAGGAATTGTGGGCAGTGAGCACAGCTCACATGATATTTATCACTTGACCCAAGGAATGCTGACTGACTGTTTAAAAAAAAACTCATGACTCTAGTCTGATATAGAGAATATTCCTCATTGTGTGGGTGACCAGTTATTTATGTAGGTTGGCCGTGGCTCGTGTAAGGGGGTTATTTGGGAACATCCATGACAGGTTGACAACATACAAAACACGTAAAACATTCCCATACAGGCTTTGTTCAGGCTATAGTGTGGCATCATCTCGTGGCATCATCTCGTGGGAGAACCCACAAAAGTAAACCAGCTCTAAGAACCCTTATGTAATTCAAATCTTTTGTTTCTGATTCCCATGATTTCATCTTCTTCTTGTGTTCGCTTTCTGATTGACACGGACACACAAATTCTTGTGATAAACTTGACTGTTTTTAGGAATTCCCTTTTAGTTCCATACAACTTTGAGTGCAGTGTTGACTCGATGGGCCAGTATTCCCTATGGTTCCATCAAGCATCAATGTCTTGGTGGTTACCCAAAGTTCCTGCTCCTACTGGAACTTCAGCTTACCCCTGTGGATCTGCTGATGGTGCCGAGGTACTTTATACAGTATGCTGTCCTTTCCTTCAAAGTGGCGCAATACTATACCTGCGAAGATGGCATTCCATGTTCTGACAACCTTGTTTGGTCTCTTTCGTGTGGCCTGTCTGCGTGGACAGCAGAAAATACTTTAGAGTGTGATCATGTAGAAATTACCAGACAACTGGTTTTCAGTTATATTCAGTATTATCAGTTAGACAGCTGTCTGGGAAACCTTGCTGTCACAAAATACAGTATGTACCACTTCAACACGAGCAGAGTCAAAAACTATCCATCTTCCACTAAAGTCAAAAACTCCCCAACTTTTCTTGACTGCATCATGTCTCTCTCCACCCACTTCACCTACCTGGGAAAACCCCATCCAGATCTCGTAGTTGGCTTCTTCGCATCAATCTGTTCTCGGATACTGTTATTATCTCATACACAGTCAGTTCCCATACTAGCTTATTTTAGTACGGCATAAGCTAGTTACATTTACCTCTGATTTTATTCACACTTATTGGCTTATTCTGGATTATTCTAAAATGATTTCAGGGAGCAGACGTATCCTGGATGTGATGGATGTGAACACACAGAAGGCCATGGAGATGTCGATGAAAGACTGGGTCAGATATTATGAGAATCCAGAGAGAGACCGGCTGTTGAATGTCATCAGTCTAGAGTTCTGTCACACTCGTCTGGAAAATTATGTCGAGTCGCCAACGCTTGTAAGTTTGTATGTGTGTAACCAACACTTGTAAGTTTGTATGTGTGTAACCAATGCTGGTAAGTTTGTATGTGTGTAACCAACGCTGGTAAGTTTGTATGTGTGTAACCAACACAGGTAACTTTGTATGTGTGTAACCAACGCTTGTAAGTTTGTGTGTGTGTAACCAACGCTTGTAAGTTTGTATGTGTGTAACCGATGCTTGTAAGTTTGTATGTGTGTAACCGACGCTAGTAAGTTTGTATGTGTGTAACCGACGCTGGTAAGTTTGTATGTGTGTAACCGACGCTGGTAAGTTTGTATGTGTGTAACCGACGCTGGTAAGTTTGTATGTGTGTAACCGACGCTGGTAAGTTTGTATGTGTGTAACCAACGCTGGTAAGTTTGTATGTGTGTAACCAACGCTGGTAAGTTTGTATGTGTGTAACCAACGCTGGTAAGTTTGTTTGTGTGTAACCACCGCTTGTAAGTTTATATGTGTGGAACCAACGCTTGTAAGTTTGTATGTGTGGAACCAACGCTTGTAAGTTTGTATGTGTGGAACCAACGCTTGTAAGTTCGTATGTGTGTTACCAATGCCGAATAATTTTATCTTTGAGTGTATGTGTGTGTGTGTTATATTTATTTGTGACACACTAGTGCTGGTAAGTTTGTACGAGTGTAATTATTATAAAATATATGTCTAAGAGGGAGTAGACAAGTGACTGGAGCACTGAGAATTTGAGCATTTATATGAAGTAAAGACGACGGACGTTTATAAATTACATGTTAATGTTAATTATATTTGCATCTATCATACATGGTAATGTTAATTATATTTTCATCTATCATACATGTTTGGATCAATCATAACATGCTAATGTTAATTATGTTTGTATCTTTCATAATGTTAATGTTCATTTTGTTTGTATCTATCAAGGTGTTAATGTTAATTATGTTTGTATCTGTCATCTTTTCATAACGCACTATGTCTTTGAGTCACCATTTATCTTTGTGTTTAATGAAAATTAAATTTGCACCTTAAATCACTATTGTCATGTGCCATGCTGGGAAGAATGAACTGTTTGGATTACTTTTGTAGACAGTCACCACTGTCTCGCATCAGGCATGTCTTTATCCGTGTTATGCCTATTGGTCAAGCCTCCTTGGTCTTCACGAAACACTGCTCCTTTCTGGTGCACGTCAAAAGTTAAGCAGCCGTCTTTAAACTGCCATTATGATGTCACCATGTTCGTTTGCACTGTGAGGCCACATGCTTAACACTCTTGACATCCTTAACAATATAGACAAGAAGCCAGTAGCTTGTTTGGTAAAATTGTTGTCAACTTTTAAGGTTTTTGTTTCAAATAACAGTGAGAAGACACAAATATATCATTACGGTCGGAGGAGAATAGGGTTGCGAGGAAATAGCAGGGGATCTGGCTAACGCTTACAGAGGAAAGGCGAGACATATGTTCAGTCATACAAGACACATGTACAGTCATACAAGACACATGTTCAGTCATACAAGACACATGTACAGTCATACAAGACTCATGTGCAGTCATACAAGACACATGTAGAGTCATACAAGACACATGTACAGTCATACAAGACACATGTACAGTCATACAAGACACATGTACAGTCATACAAGACACATGTACAGTCATACAAGACAGATGTACAGTCATACAAGACAGATGTACAGTCATACAAGACACATGTACAGTCATACAAGACACATGTACAGTCAGACAAGACATATGTACAGTCAGACAAGACACATGTACAGTCAGACAAGACACATGTACAGTCAGACAAGACACATGTACAGTCATACAAGACACATGTACAGTCAAAGACAGTTACTGGTGCCATCAGAATTTGAACTCTTCGACTGCTGCTGAAGATGGGAGTGGAGCGCTTATGTCTGGAGTGCTGTGATGTCAATTCTTAATTCAACATTCAACAGTAGAAATAACATTTCTGCTGCCGTTACATTTTTCTGTAGTCTGCTTTTTGTCTCAGCCCAAGATACATGCTCAGCAAAGAGCGTAGTAGTTAGTCAGTGGGGTGTCGAGGGTTAGCCTTTCACATTTTCTAGGTTATGACATATGGGGGGGGGGGGGGGAAGTTAGTTAACTTCCTCATCAGCTTTTCACCCCTGGATGTTTAAGAAACCAAAGCAATGTTTCCCCGATGTGAATTTGAGCAACTCTTTTTTTTCCTCCTGTCATCTCCCAGTCGTGTACAGTACTTGTGGCAACTCTTTGTCTTTCTCCTGTCATCTCCAAGCCATGAACAGTACTTGTGGCAACTCTTTGTCTTCCTCCTGTCATCTCCCAATGGTGTACAGTACTTGTGGCAACTCTTTGTCTTCCTCCTGTCATCTCCCAATGGTGTACAGTACTTGTGGCAACTCTTTGTCTTCCTGTCATCTCCCAGTCGTGTACAGTACTTGTGGCAACTCTTTGTCTTCCTCCTGTCATCTCCCAGTGGTGTACAGTACTTGTGGTAAATCTTTGTCTTCCTCCTGTCATCTCCCAATGGTGTACAGTACTTGTGGCAACTCTTTGTCTTCCTCCTGTCATCTCCCAATGGTGTACAGTACTTGTGGCAATCTTCCTCCTGTCATCTCCCAATGGTGTACAGTACTTGTGGCAATCTTCCTCCTGTCATCTCCCAGTTGTGTACAGTACTTGTAGCAACTCTTTTGTCTTCCTCCTGTCATCTCCCAGTCGTGTACAGTACTTGTGGCAACTCTTTGTCTTCCTCCTGTCATCTTCCAGTACTTGTGGTAACTTTGTCTTCCTCCTGTCATCTCCCAGTCGTGTACAGTACTTGTGACAACTCTTTGTCTTCCTCCTGTCATCTTCCAGTACTTGTGGTAACTCTTTGTCTTCCTCCTGTCATCTCCCAGTCGTGTACAGTACTTGTGGTAACTCTTTGTCTTCCTCCTGTCATCTCCCAGTCGTGTACAGTACTTTTTTTAACTCTTTGTCTTCCTCCTGTCATCTCCCAATGGTGTACAGTACTTGTGGCAACTTATTGTCTTCCTCCTGTCATCTTCCAGTACTTGTGGTAACTCTTTGTCTTCCTCCTGTCATCTCCCAATGGTGTACAGTACTTGTGGCAACTCTTTGTCTTCCTCCTGTCATCTCCCAGTCGTGTACAGTACTTGTGGCAACTCTTTGTCAGTTTGTTCACTTTCTTCTTCAATCCTTCTGTCAGAAAATGTAAAGCTGGAGGCCAATAACCTTTCCTTACAGCTTTGTCTTCAGTGAGGTGACAGTGTTGGAGTACAGCTTTGTCTTCAGTGAGGTGACAGTGTTGGAGTACAGCTTTGTCTTCAGTGAGGTGACAGTGTTGGAGTACAGCTTTGTCTTCAGTGAGGTGACAGCGTTGGAGTACAGCTTTGTCTTCAGTGAGGTGACAGTGTTGGAGTACAGCTTTGTCTTCAGTGAGGTGACAGTGTTGGAGTACAGCTTTGTCTTCAGTGAGGTGACAGTGTTGGAGTACAGCTTTGTCTTCAGTGAGGGTGACAGTGTTGGAGTACAGCTTTGTCTTCAGTGAGGTGACAGTGTTGGAGTACAGCTTTGTCTTCAGTGAGGTGACAGTGTTGGAGTACAGCTTTGTCTTCAGTGAGGTGACAGTGTTGGAGTACAGCTTTGTCTTCAGTGAGGTGACAGTGTTGGAGTACAGCTTTGTCTTCAGTGAGGTGACAGTGTTGGAGTACAGCTTTTTGTCTTCAGTGAGGTGACAGTGTTGGAGTACAGCTTTGTCTTCAGTGAGGTGACAGTGTTGGAGTACAGCTTTGTCTTCAGTGAGGTGACAGTGTTGGAGTACAGCTTTGTCTTCAGTGAGGTGACAGTGTTGGAGTACAGCTTTGTCTTCAGTGAGGTGACAGTGTTGGAGTACAGCTTTGTCTTCAGTGAGGTGACAGTGTTGGAGTACAGCTTTGTCTTCAGTGAGGTGACAGTGTTGGAGTACAGCTTTGTCTTCAGTGAGGTGACAGTGTTGGAGTACAGCTTTGTCTTCAGTGAGGTGACAATGTTGGAGTACAGCTTTGTCTTCAGTGAGGTGACAATGTTGGAGTACAGCTTTGTCTTCAGTGAGGTGACAATGTTGGAGTACAGCTTTGTCTTCAGTGAGGTGACAGTGTTGGAGTACAGCTTTGTCTTCAGTGAGGTGACAGTGTTGGAGTACAGCTTTGTCTTCAGTGAGGTGACAGTGTTGGAGTACAGCTTTGTCTTCAGTGAGGTGACAGTGTTGGAGTACAGCTTTGTCTTCAGTGAGGTGACAGTGTTGGAGTACAGCTTTGTCTTCAGTGAGGTGACAGTGTTGGAGTACAGCTTTGTCTTCAGTGAGGTGACAGTGTTGGAGTAGGTGACAATGTTGGAGTACAGCTTTGTCTTCAGTGAGGTGACAGTGTTGGAGTAGGTGACAATGTTGGAGTATAGCTTTGTCTTCAGTGAGGTGACAGTGTTGGAGTACAGCTTTGTCTTCAGTGAGGTGACAGTGTTGGAGTAGGTGACAATGTTGGAGTACAGCTTTGTCTTCAGTGAGGTGACAGTGTTGGAGTACAGCTTTGTCTTCAGTGAGGTGACAGTGTTGGAGTAGGTGACAATGTTGGAGTACAGCTTTGTCTTCAGTGAGGTGACAGTGTTGGGAGTAGGTGACAATGTTGGAGTACAGCTTTGTCTTCAGTGAGGTGACAGTGTTGGAGTACAGCTTTGTCTTCAGTGAGGTGACAGTGTTGGAGTAGGTGACAATGTTGGAGTACAGCTTTGTCTTCAGTGAGGTGACAGTGTTGGAGTACAGCTTTGTCTTCAGTGAGGTGACAGTGTTGGAGTAGGTGACAGTGTTGGAGTACAGCTTTGTCTTCAGTGAGGTGACAGTGTTGGAGTACAGCTTTGTCTTCAGTGAGGTGACAGTGTTGGAGTAGGTGACAATGTTGGAGTACAGCTTTGTCTTCAGTGAGGTGACAGTGTTGGAGTAGGTGACAATGTTGGAGTACAG